AATGAAGGTCCCTCTAACAATGTTATCTCAGGAGATTCATCGAAACCCAGTTTCTCTTCGTATCTATTAACATATAGTTCATATACACATTTTCGGCTTCTTTGCTGCAGTTTGGACTTCACCAGCATCTTAAGGACATCGACATAAAAAAGCCGTTTCATTCGACACGCCGGGCTGCATTTTATGTTTGATTCGCCAAAAAATTCGAGAACCGGCTCTTCTCAGATTTTTATTTCAGATGCCTTTTATCTATGGACATGACATATTTTTTATCAGCTCTCTTGCGCATTTCGTGTTAGCCCATACTTCCTTAAAGGTCAAATTCAATTATTTGTAATAGTATGACAAGGCCTAACTAGTTTATTTTTAAGGAAGTTTTTACGTTAACTCGTCTTCTTTAATCTTTGTTTTTTTCATAATTGTATCTTAACTATGTCTACAATAAGAGCTATATTCTCACATTTTCATTTTTATTTTCATTTTTTAAAATATTAATTATACGGAAGGGTAAACGAAGCCTCTTAGGCAACTTTTTTCTAAATACCTTTTATTTTTTTATTATTTAACTATAGTGATAAAAATGTACATATCAATGAAGATCGTAAATCGTGCGGCAAAGATCCGTAAGTTTCAAGAATATTTTTGGCGTCATTAATATGCATATATTTCTGAAAGTAGTCAACGTGATTTTTTCCTATTTATTAATTATTTTTATTTTTGTTCCCTTATTTTTATATTTTTTATTTTAGAATTCCATCTTATATTTTTACATCGTGTTGTCTTTTTAGTTGGAGAATGCTCTCCACAACCTGCGGCGGCAGTCCGACGGGATCATTATCTACCCAGCGATCCATTCCCTCTGAGTTGTATGCTGGTGCTCGCCCTGGATCGAACAAGCGGTGGTGCTCTCTGACTATAGAAAGTCTCCTTCCGGCTACGCGGTATGCTGTCTATGTAGAGGTGAAATATCTGCCCAGCTACTCTGGAATCATCAGCCAGTTAGCCTACTTCACAACTCAGGCTATTAGTGAGTGTGGTTCACTCATATTTTGTATAGAAGTCCACTGCTTATGGCTTCTTTTATTGCTCGGTACATAAGTTATTTATTTTTAAGAGAGCTTTCTTTTAAAATGCTTTTGCTAGATTTGTATCACAGACAGGACTACTCTTTAGAGGCTGTTCATCTTCAGAGTTTCGTACAAATACTCCAAATATATACGTAATATAGTGGGTTTTTACCGGCAGACTATCGTATTGCTTCTATCAGCTCAAGATCTATGTACAAAATATTATGTATAGGTATTGTATAATTATGTATTATGTGTCCTTTTCTTTGCTTCATTCTTCCTATCTACTCACATATATTTATCCCTAAAATACTAGATCCTTCACCTCCTAGTTTTGTGCGAGTGGAGCCACTTCCATTCGGTCGGCTTCATCTCTCTTGGTTGCCTCCTCGTTCCCCAAACGGTGTCGTTAGTGTCTACCTTGTTTGGTTGCGTCGACTCCGCCAGCGCAGATTAGACTTTGGCGTAGGCCGCGATGAATTCTGCTTCGGCGGTATGTGGGTTTGATTTCTTCAAATTATTTATCTACTTACGATTATCCATCTCTTGAACTCTGCCTTTATGCCTCATTTATGTAAGAAACAATTAATGATCCTATATTACTATACTATTCTGTACACTAATGCGACAGGGGCCGACAAAGCAAAACTCGTATCTTCTACTAGACTTGATAACATAAGCGGGATTCGGGGCTATCATTAGTTCCTTTCTGAAGCATGCAGCCTTTGAGGAACAAAATCGAGCGATATTTAATGCTATATTTTGGCTTTTTACAAGTTTCACTGCTGCAAAGTCTTTTTCAGATCCTCTATGATCTTAGGCGACCCACTCTGACTCGGGTTCTTATGAAATTGTATTGAGTCGTTGAGAGGTTTTGCTTTATGGACTGTCCAAAGCAGGAATCTAAATGCAGAGCATCCTTTTACTATCCGTTAGGTTGGCTGAGCAGATTTGGATCTAGAAGGTCGTATCTCATTTGAAAATAGAAGAGCCAAATGAATCACTTATTGCTATTCCAAAATAACACTTAATCCGCATAATGCCCAGGGATCGACATATAAACATAATTGACAAAACTTTGCACCAAATTGACAGCCTTCTACAAAGGCTTGATCTGAGCCTTCCTGACAAACTAAGATTCACTAGCTGCTTTGACGGCGATTAAAAAAGCTAGATGTGAAATATAAACCCTAATAAGGAATAGCTAATATTTTGGTCATTATAAACTAACCAAGCAACTTATACGAGTAGGAGCTACATTTTATGATTGATATTTGGCCAGGTACAGTCTCTTATTACAATAATCTTGGAAACTTTATGAATAGGTAAGTGATCGAATAATGAGCCAGTGTTGATATAACACTATCTTTTGTCTATACTCAGGTATTTGGAAAAATGCGCTTCTTTGATATTAAGCCATCGATTATGACATTCAT